AAACTTTCGATTGCTGCGGCCCTCCTTTACGTATTCGCCTGACATTGTGGACGCCCAAGGTTTTGAATACTAGAGTAGGGTTTAATCCTGAAAGGGAATCCGCATCAAAATTTCTTGGAGGCCTTGTTTTGGAAAAGAAATAAAAATGATTGAATTAATAAAATCTATTCAAAAGTGTCGAAATATTACATACGTTGCAACTCTTGTTCCTTGGGGGCCCCTTGCTTGGTTCTCTTGTTCATGGATACGGTTGATACAGCGGTAGCTACGTAAGTCCTTATGATTTTGAGCACCTCTCCCTGACTACCAACACATGGCTGAGGAAATTAAATACAATCGCTATCGCGTTAATGCTCTATGAATTCAGTTCTTAATCTCTGCGCATGTATCCATTATTATTACTTTTTTTTTGAAAATATTACATTGTATTAAAGCTCACCCATCCGGTATAGTGGTTAGCGACACTGACCACTGTGCTGTAGGGCCTGGGTTTGAATCCCGGAGAAGACATGTATGTAAATGTATAGTGCCTTCGCGGCATGGGGGTACTCTAAACGGCCGTCCTCTGGTGTAGCTGGTGGAAGGGGAATAGGCTCCTGACCATCTACAGGGTGTTATTCCTCAAAATTGGGGCGGAACCGAGCAAAATCGTACTGTCACCTGTATGGTGCTCATGGCTACAACCAACGACAACCGTACATCTAGCCCTTTGTCATGAGGAATTTCATGGGCCTCGATTTGACTACGTCAGACAGGTAGAATTAGCAACAACACATTGTATTAAAGGCTATGTAAATGCAAACAATAAAATAAAATGAGTTAATATTATTATGTGTTATCGAAATATATGATCCAATAGAGTTAATTCATTGAGAGTAATTTAGTGATGTAGAGTGCAGAATAGAACACATATTTCAATTTTTTATGAGGAATTTCAGAGTCTGTAAAAGAGGGAAATCTTACGGTATCCGACTACGTTCGGAACCGTGATTTTAAAAAAGCGCATAAATGGATCATTTTCGTGATATTCAGTGTCACTTAGATTAGAATACATGTATAATATTGTTTTAAGGACATTGTGACAAAAACATTATTTAAATACAATATTTCGGGAAAAAATAAACTTAGAATAACCTTTTTTTCAAAATGTTCTCCTTTTATAAAAAATACTTCTAAAATAATATTTTGCTTGTATAAAATAAAGACTTCTCCAAAGAGTTTGAACTTTTTTTTTTCTTTTTTTTGAAAAATTCACATTATTTTCAGAGTTGCAACCAATTAAAATAATTATTGGAGTTTTTTTCTTAAAATTTTTCCTCTCTGTTGTCGTAAAACATGGATACACCCACTTCTACGTTATATAATTTCAAAAATTCTAGTTGAGCCTCTGTACGGAGGTCTGAGCTATATACAAGCAAAATATTATTATAATAGAAGCATTTTTCACAAAAGGAGAATATTTCGAAAATGGGTCATTCTATGTTACTTTTTTTATCAAAATATTGTACTTAAATAATTTTTTAGTGTTATAATATTCTTAAAACAATTTTATATACATTTTCTAATCTAAGTGATAATAATATTATCCATTTATACGCTTTTGCAAAATTACGGTTCCGAATGTAGTCGGATTAATTAATGTTCAATGAAAAATCTTCACGGATCCCCTAAAAAAAATGCTATGAATCTCGGAGATCCAAGGAGGGTCACAGTTTAAAAACCTCTGACCTAGATGATTTCCATTAAGATGTGTTTAAATTCCACACGCGTGTCTTATTTATTTAAGCTTTTTTTGATAAACTTAAAAGATATTCTTCACAAAAAATGCCTTTTAAAATCTCTGAAATTATATAGGAAATTGGTAATTTTAGCTCGGATTAATTGCATACTTTTGCATTCGCATTTAAATTATGAGTGTGCGTGCGAGTGTTTTTGTGTGTTTTATGCATCATCTCTAAGCCACTCTCATTCCGTAAATAAAAGCATCAACGAACCTACCTAAGAAAAAAAATCAAAAATTTCCATTTCATTCAAAATATCCATCAGAAGATGATAGTTTAATTGGTTTGAATTTGAATGGTACCACACATTACAAGACAGTTAGTGGTGAAGGACTTCATAATTTTTAATCAAATTCAAGTGACGAGGACGACATAACCTGGTACCTCCCACGCCTTATTACAGAGTGAGTGAGAGAATATTGACGTTGAACAGTTCAGCTACTCGAGGGCTTTTAGTGGCGAACCTCGCTATTTTGAACCATGGTCAAGTGACGAGGACGACAACTGAGCTGGCACCACCCCTCTTCTAACTACCACACCAACGGGAGAACGTTTGAGTTCTCGACAGATTTAACGTGCATCTCTCCCTTATACAGCGGGTCATCAACGATACTAGGCTCGAATCATGACACTCCGGCCACAAGTCCGTTGCTTTGACCTCTAGGCTATCGCGGCTACCACCTTATTACAAAAGGACCACGTAGTACGTCGGCGCGTCGTGAGTTCGAGCCCTACTGCTACAGCAGACCCGCTGTCTAGAAAGGCAGATGCACGTCAAATTAGTCGAAGCTCGTGTGAGTGAATGAATAATTAACGTCGCATTATTCAGCTACTCTCTCTCTCTCGAGGGCTTTTGGAGACGGACTTCGTAATTTTGAAATATTGGCCAAGTGACGAGGCCGACACCTGAGCTGGCACCGCCCTTCTTCTAACTACCACACCAATGGGAGGACGTTTGAGTTCTCGACGGATTAAACGAGCATCGCTCCCCTACACGGCGGGTCTTCAACGATACTAGACTCGAATCATTACACTCCGGTTACAAGTCCGTTGCTTTGACTAAGCTATCGCTTGATTAATTGATTATTAACGTCGCACAGTTAAGCTACACGAGGGCTTTTAGCGACGGACCACGTAATTTTGAACCATGGTCAAGTGACGTGGACGACACCTGAAATGGCACACCTCTCCTAACTGTCTAGAAGGGCTGATGCACGTCAAATCTGTCGAAGCTCGAGTGAGTGAGTGAATAATTAACGTCGCATTATTCAAGTACTCGAGGGCTTTTGTAGACGGACTTCGAAATTTTGAACCATTGTCAAGTGACTAGGACGACACCTGAGCTGGCATCACCCTTCTCCTAACTACCGCACACACGGGAGGACGTTTAAGTTGTCGGCAGATTTAACGCGCATCGCTTCCTTACGCGGTGGTCTTCAACGATACTAGGCTCAAATCATGACACTGGCCACGAATCCGTTACCTTGACCGCTAGGCTATCGTGGCCACTGTAGAAGCTCAAAGTTCTTCCGCAAGCGTGGTGTGGAAGTTCAGTGGTGCCAGTTTAGGTGTCATCGTCGACAGTTAATCGAGGTTTAAAATACAAGATCCGTCGCCAATAGCCTTCGCGTTACGTTATAGTGCGACATTAATAAACACAAACATTAGAGTATTTGGGGACATAGTTTCATTCAATGTGCAGAAATTTTATAATGTATTTATTTTTTTTAAATAAATGTAAATAATTTATCAAGCAATTACGATTAAAAAGAAGATGAAGAGAAGAAGTACAATTTATTTTATCCCTACATCAGAAGGGCTTAAACCCCGACTAAAAAATATAAGAAAATCAAGCCTGTAATTTCTGTTTTTCAAGATCTTCATTAAATAAATAGTCTTATTTCCATCTGTGTTTCTATTTAGTTATTTTACTGCTCCCCAAATTTTAAATATTTTAAATATTTAAAGGTTCCAAACACCCCCCTCAAAATTATAAACTTTTAAAATTATAAGCAGATTTTATTTTCAGAGTAAGTATAGTTGAGTTATAGAAATACCCAAATCATATATACGCAAAGTAATGCAAAGTTTAAATAAAGTTTTGAAAACAACGTTATGAACCTTCTTATAGTACTTTACATGTTTATCCTTTTATATGGTTCACATAACGTTAATGTATTTTGAAAAATAATTTCTTGGAAATATTAGTTGATATAAATAAAATATCCTGTTCCTATAAATTTTACTGGCGTACCTAGCTCTGTGGGGGCCCTGCATAAAAATTATTTCGGGGCCCTTTTTGAGATATCGGAGCTCTGTCAGGGGACTGTAGTTACACATGTTGGGGCCCGATATCATTAATATGGTGGTAGCTACGCCCCTGAAACGTTTAATTCACATTTTAAAATGAGTGAGTGTTTCTTAACGTCGCACATTAAAGCAATGCTAGCTTATTTAGCAACAAACCACGTAATCTTGAACTTTGGTATTGTGACGAGGACAACACCTGAGTTGGCATCCCCCTCTCTAAATTACCATATCACGCCAGCGAGACGATTTAACGTGCTTCTCTACACGGCGGGTCTTCACTAACACGAAGATTGTGGAACTCCTGATACGGCAGCCAAGAATCGGTGACTATACTCGTAGCTAGTAGGTTGCCGCACTCTTATATTTAGTAATATAAAAAAAATTAAGTCAATTTCTATACTTAGGTCAACAAAGAAAATTTTATTTTAGTTACTTTTTATTAAATATAATTACAAATAATATACAAATGACAGAATCAAAATATTAAGAGGCAAAATAGAAAGCGATTTTCCATTTTCCTTTCTATATATGGTGGACTATTTTTTGTTACTATTTATTCCTTAATTAAATTTAATTATTATCATGAAATAGGATAATAAAAATGAATCACATACTCAGAAATTCGGCATTCCAGGCGGAATCTGATTGATTGATTGAATATTAACATCGCACTGTTTAGCTACACGAGGGCTTTTGGCGACGGACCACGTAATTTTGAACGTGGATGTAGACGACACCTAAGCTGTCACCTCCCTCTTCTAACTACCACACCACACCAACGGAAGGACGTTTCAGCACTTGAAAATTTAACGTGCATCGCTGCCCTACACGACGGGTCTTTAGTAGTACTGGGCTTGATCTCGTGACAAGGGAAGCCACGATCCGATACCTATACCACTCGGATACCGCGGCCACAGGCCGGGATTTGAACCCACGAACTTTGGATTGGAAGTCCAACGCGCTATCCATTACGCTACAGGGACACAACGAGCGATTTTCCTCTTTTTTCTGCTGTTGAACTCTTACTTCTGTTTGTTACTATTTATTAATTAAGTTTTACTTATGAATTAATATTTGATAAAACTGTATTAACATCAAGTGTCATCCCCGCTACAAGTTTAAAAAAGTACATTTGAACTTGAACGGATGAATATCAAGTATTTTATTATCGATTGAAAATTTGAACAAGATATATATATATATATATATATATATATATATATATATATATATATTTAACATTACACTTGAAACTTACATACATTTTATATAAGCGCATCACAGTATTAAAACTAATTTAATCTTATGAATATTTATGAAATGAAATAACATTCCCCGATCTCAAATAGAATTCAATTACATGGTTTTAATCTCGATGCTACCCAACAGGTGCGTAATCAATTCTTGAAGAGGAACCTAATGGCGATTGACAAGCGCGATGGCTCAATCGGCAGCTTATTCATCAAATTTCCACACCGTACCGATGCTTGAAATTCCGCTGGTGTACAACACAGGACACAATGTATTCACAACATGAACGTCTTCGGTAAAAACAGGGAATATCAATCAATAACTTGTAGGCCATCAGTCACTTCTCTACAAGTTCAGCAGCTGTCAAGTCCCCCGATAAAAATCTCACGACGCATACTCACTGATGCAATTATTTCGATAATGTAATTAAGTTTATAAAAAAGCTTGTATACTTTACATATACCTATTCCATGATCATTACTCATCTTCTCCAAAGAGCTTAATTCTTCTCTTGATACAGTATAACACAGTGGTGTACAAAAGAATGAGGTTTGGGGGTTCAAACCCGACAATCTGCATACCGCAGTTTGGAAGCCGCAAGTGGCTCTCAGCATCAGCGTTTCTCAAACTGTAGGGCACCCCTCCCCCCCTTGGGTGCCGGGACAACTCTACTAGGGCAGCGCGAGCATAATGAAAAGTCAAAAACTAAGGATTTTAAACAAATTACTAATTTACTGAAAGTGTAAACAAACAAAATACATTCTGACATAATAAAAAATAAAATACCCATTTACACTGAAATATTACACTTATAAATGTATCAGTGCTACACAGTAGCGCACACAGAAATTTTTCAGGGGGGTCCGAGATCTAAAGTTCACCATTCTTGTATCATGCTCCTTTTGATTTTGTCGATTTTCGGGAACAAAACACAGTAAAAATCTAATTATTGAATAAATAATTAGCATTAATTCATAAAATTAATCATTAAGAACAAATACTTAATTAAATTTTACGTTCTATATACTTAGAATTATAATCAATCGGAAAAAAATCAAGGGCTTTGGGGGGAAGGGTCTGGACCCCCCCTCCTTGTGTGCGCTACTGGTGCTACATAAAGTATTTTATAATTATTTTAACAATATTCATTTAAGAACAAGTTTAATAATTACCACTGACCCCTTGGGAGTGTCATACATAAAATATTATATACAAAAATTAACACTTATCTTTATAATGTGTGTGCGGTTTATAATTAATCCCTTAACTGCCCATTAAAAGTTACGTGATTCGCTTCCTAATATTAACCGTTTTCCACGTAGACGCGCATATGTGATGTATTAGGAGAGAAAGAAATAAAAAAGCAAATAAATCCTTCGCACACAAATTGTCAAGGTACTTTTATTGCATTCCAAAGCCTTCGGAATAATTTTATGGATAGCAGTGCAGAAAAAAGATCGTACTTCGGAAAGACGTATATATACATCCAAGGAAATTAACGCTTTGTATATTGGGTCGCGAATACTGAAACTTTGAGAAGCACTGGCGTACATGGTTGCAGCTCTTCAAACTTCTCCCTTTGTGTTTTTTAAAGAAAAATAATTGTATAAACATATATATATATATATATATATATATATATATATATATATATATATATACATCTGCTTTCTCTCTTTCTTTTTAATTAACTATTGAAAAAATTCACCTGTATTTAAATATTTGAGTGTTTTGTTTACATCAGTATTAAATTGTTTTCCCATTTTACAACATTTATTATCAATCAGTGAAAATATTAGAATCAACTGTAAAACAGTAAATTAATTCCATTTTTTTTTTTTTTTTTTTTTTTTTTTTTTGCAAATTGAATCACTTAGATCACTGTGTTTTGCTTCTTTTACCAGGACCCATCTTTACTGCACGCTGTTTGAAGCGTATTCAATATTATTCATAGTATTGAATATACTACAGACAGCGAGCGTAATAAGTCTCAGGCTTGTTCCAATTTATTTTAAAATTAATCGTCCGCCTCGTATATCACACGAAGGGGGGGAAAAGGAATCAATATTTATAGAAAAGCGTGGGAAAAATCCAGCCATGGCGCTGATTTTTCCCAATATAGGTCTCCCCCCCTTCTTGCGCTTAAGGGTTGTATAATTCTAGAATTACACTATTTTTTCAGAACAGAGTCTGGAATGATTCATCCAATAAATAATGACTCCACAAAACATAAGAAAATTGCACACGTACATTTCAAATTGTTTCGTAAAAAAGGGGGTGCGCGTTATACGGCGAATATACCTAAAAATTAAAAAATACAGCTTGAGAGTATAGGTACGCGTTATACGCCGGATTTTAACTTAAAGGGCTATAGGTTTAGACTATATACACTGGTGTACAAAAATTAAGGACGAAGTCGAAAAATTAGCATATCTGTTGAACGAAGAGGCAGAGTGGACAGAAATACCAATCAGGAGATTAAGTAAGGTGATGTACGGTAGCACATGCGCAGATATGCAGGTAGACGTAATGGGGGAGTGTCTGAGTAGTATAAAGCATGTTGTCGGTGTAAGATCAGTATTTCTGGCAAAGAGATTGCACGCCGTATAGCAGTTAAAATCACACCGAGTTGCTGTCTCAGCGAGAAATGGCGAATAATCAATCTGTTAGACGACATCTGAATGCTTTTACTCGAGGTGGAATCATTGGGAAGTTGGAGGAAGGCCGCAGTGTGACAAGTGTGGCTGCAGAGTTCGGAATTGCTCACAGCATCGTTTCACGACTTTGGAGACAATTTCAAACTACAGGAACAGCTATCCGGGGGTTCAGTAGTGGTCGTCCACGAGGAACCACACCCGCAGATGACCGGTACATTGTCTTACAGGCCAGAAGAAACAGGCGGTAGACAGCGGGAGAAATCGCTAGACACACGACACAGGCCACTGGACGACCGATATCGCGTTTTACCGTGGCCAGAAGACTGCACGGTGGTGGTCTGTTTGCACGACACCCTGTACGGTGTGTACCTTTAACGCCTGCCCATCGAAGAAGGCGTTCTCTGTGGTGCCGGGAACACCGGAATTGGAGAGACAATGAATGGGGACGAGTACTCTTTACAGATGAGAGCAGATTCAGTTTGAGTAGCGATTCTCATCGCACACTCATCTGGAGAGAGCGGGGAAGCCGCAATCATCCCTCGAACATCATTGAAAGGGACAGGTATGGAGGTCGCGGTGTTCTCGTTTGGGGAGGCATCATGCTTGGTAGTCGTACAGACCTTCACATCTTCGATGCAGGTTCAGTCAACGGGACCCGTTATTGTAACGAGATTCTTCTTCCATATGTGCGTCTTTTTAGAGGCGCTCTGGGTCGGCAGTTCCTTTTCATGAACGACAATGCACCATGTCATCGCACAGTAGCTGCCGAACAGCTCTTAGAGAGTGAGGATATTGAACGTATGGATTGGCCGGCACGATCTCCGGATCTCAATCCCATCGAGCATGTGTGGGATTTTCTAGGCAGACGCTTGGCAGCTCGTACCTTACCACCAGTAACGATTCGGGAGCTTCGATTGGCGCTGCAAGACGAATGGGCAGCAATCCCTCAACAACTCATTGACACCCTCATTCTTAGCATGGGCAGACGCTGTGAAACCTGCCTAGCAGTCAGGGGAGATCATATCCCCTACTAAAGACCGGATGTTTCTTGCTGGACACCCATCACAGGGATGTTTCGGCCTTCAGTCGCATTGCGCTCCATGCTACTTTTTCAATCAAGCTTCTTTTTATCCCTCTGATTTCTCTTTTAGTAAGTGTTGCTTACATTACACATGTCCTTACGTATTGGGGATCTTACGGTATTAAATGTGTTGATTTGGACAGCTTTTGTACAAAGTTATATTGAAAAAACCGTCTCGTCCTTAATTTTTGCACACCAGTGTATGTTCAAAAACCTGGGATAATACCTCGAACAAATGACTTCGTAATATAAGAGCATTGCACACATACATTTCAGGTTCCTTCGTAAAAAAGAGGGTGCGCGTTATACGGCGAATATACCCAATAATTAATAAAATGTAGCTTGAAAGTATAGATGCACGTAATACGCCGGATTTTACGATATGTGTTTGTGTGTGTACCACAATGAGAAGACACCCCTCTAAGTGATTTCCATCAACGTTTACTTATTTGTGTGCACGAGTTCGGAAACAATCATGAATGGACAACTTAAATTCCAAATAGAAGATATAAAACTAATTTCATATTCTATGACACGCTTTAGAGATTAATGAAAAGAGTACCGAAAAGTGTCTTTCACAAATGACACTTTTAACTATTAGTGTAAGTATGATAATTCAGAATAAAGCGTTTACGGTATATTGATGTAGAAATTTCTTCACGAAGCCTGAAATTTGAACTCCCGCTATTATGATGTTTTGGTAATGGTTATTCTTGCACTGAGCCACGGAAATAAAAACATCTTCGAGGGCTCTTAATTTCTAAATAAATGGAAAATTTTATACTTTGCGTAAAACACATTTAGTATAACAAAGAATCTTCATTGGAGCACAATAGTTCTGATCGCGACTGCTGTTGGAGTGCTCCCCCCCTTCCTACAGCACCCGCGTATGCAGTGGTAGTGCATCGCGCTTCCACACCACGGGTACTAGGTTCAAATCCTGGGCTGGGCAATGTCGACTTAGCCTTTCATCCCTTCAGTGGGTCGATAAATG